GGGGGGGGAGTCAGTAAAAATCAAGCATAGCATATTTAATATTGCACCAGCCCCACACCCCCTCTCCATAAATAATGACCAGTTCCTTACCACCTAATATCACATAAAATCATTTTCAGTCTTGCACAACATTTTTCATCAGCTGAAACACAAGTTTTCAATAGAATTATTTCTGACTAACATTACACAGTAGTCAGTGTTTGACCACCATTTGGAGCAGATAATGAGATTCAAAGTCTTTTATCAGCTGTTTGAAACCAGACAACTGAATTTACACTGCAAGGCCCTAGTGTTTCCCTATTACAAACTTTCATCCATTTAAAATTTTTTTTGTTTATTGTCAATACTGCAACCAACCAAATACTCACATTTTAGTATGAAATTATCAAATTCCCTTAAATTCAGTCACGGAAAATAATTTTTCATACTAAATAATGTATAAGAGTAAATGGTTTGAACCCAGGTGTTGAAATTTAACGTGAATAATGTATGTTTGGTAGCAATGCAAATGGCGGCAATAGCACAAGAATATGGAAAGAGTGGTCACGCATTGGAGCTTTGCTTTGTGCTCATTGTAACCAGAACATTTTTTCTTCAGGTTGTTCCTATTCCTGAACCACCAAAGCAAAAAGATGACAGCTCTTCCAAACTACCAGATGATGAACATGGAGATGAAGATGAACTAGGAGAAAAAGTGAAATTCAAAGAAGTTCCCAAACTTCACATGAGACCCAAAACAGCTCCACCAATAGAATCAAAGAAGGGTGTGCGATATGTAACATGGAATGAAGCACAGGGCAGAAATGGAGCCATTAAAAGACCTGGTTCTGGGAAAGCAGTGTTCAGGTACCAAAACAAGGAACACTTTGCAAGGGTAAGTGAACATCATTTTGCCATGGGTACATAATGTGGGTATTTCATCTCTTTTTTACCTTTGCTACTGATCATGACAATAGACCATCTTATAGACTCAATTATACAGGGTTACGAAAACCAATGGTAAAGTAAAGAATGCAAAACTTTAAATACAAACACATTGAAATTCTGCAGACATTCACTTGAATGAATATTCAAAGTAATTCCCTATGAAATCGAGGCTACCCTGTACAACAGAGATTTTGAAACTGGTGTATTCAATTGCTGGAACATGTTTGGTAAAATGTTTGCTTTTCAAAATGTCATCTATTCAATTAGGTTATCCCTTTTGGAGTAAGGAAGGGGTATGCTTCACTTTTTAAAAACTAGTTGACTGTGTGTTCAGCAGGAAATTCATTGTTTTGGATGTTATTTTCAGGAATATCTTGGTAAAGCCCTCAAGATTAGTCAGATCGGCAACCAAAGTAAAGATGGCTCACAAACTGATCAAAGTTATCACCCATCTTTCTATGTAAATCGACCTGGTACTGCTCCACCTTACACTGCACAGGTAATCTGGCTGTTGATCTGCTATCTATCAACTGTCACTCCATCAAAAACTCTTAAATCCAGCATATGCGGGCTTAGCCTCGAATCCAGGAGTTGCTTTTTTTGTTATTCTAATTTCTGCTTTTGTTTACCAACCTCAGATGTGAGGCTAAGCTTGCATACACTGGAGTTTTAAGAGTCGTCAATAGGCCTTTTCTGAGTTTGATAAACAGGATGCATTGTGATCTATTGGTACAAACATCTTTCGTTAATCATGCCTATATAGTATGGTGTTGTTCGCACAAAGCTAGACCACCTTGTATCCTGTTTATCAAACTCAGAAAAGGCATACGCAAAAGATTTGCTTGCCAAGCCAAAGGCAGCTAAAAGGAAAGCGTGGATCAGGTGGCTATCCACCCCCACCCCACCCAAAATAATAGAGATATCAAAGAAAATAGCAAAACAAATAATGATGTAACTAGACTTCAAAAATCCACCTTATCGGGATTTTTGCAGTTTTTCAATTAAGGTCGCCATTATGCATTCTACTAGTGCATTGTTTTTACAGCGAGTAAATGTTTGAAATATTTCTGTTCAGGTCAAATTTCAAGACAATGACAGTGTGAAGTCGTTCATCCTTAAGCCATATAGCACTCCTGTACCAATGTCATCACCAATCAACTCTCCCTTGGCATCGCCAAGAGATTCTCCTGTTCCATTCAGGTAATGATCATCGTAATTACGCTTGTTTGAAATAGTGAATGAAATCAAGAACAAATAAGAGTGTCGAATATTATAGTGTTTTCTCAGATTTCTTTAAATTGTAGTTCAAACTGTGCGTACCAACTTTTTTTTGCCAAGACGCTTTCTTTCTTATCTTGTTGAGTGAGAGGTACGCTATTTACCTTGCCATTCTGTATTCCTTATTTCTAATTCTATCTAGATGTAAGTCACCTCAGCTGTCTGTTGACTTCTCACCTCAACCAGCCAAAGAACCAGCTGTCAAACTCAGTGTTCGAATGCCAAAGGAGAAAGATGACAAGAATGACAACAGATTGAAAACGTCATGTAGACAAGATAAAAATGTTGATAAAGAAGACCAAAAAGAGGAGAGAGAATACCCAGAATTGCCTTCCAAACTACAAACATCGCAGCCCATTCCTGAAAACCCCACTTCGTCACAACTTGAACACATTTTGAAGAATCAGAAACGCGAAGAAGGTTTGCTAGAAGAACAGCACAACCTACTACAAACGAAACTTTTACACGAGTACGATAGGTACGCCAGGGAATGTGCCGCCATGGAGAAGGAAAGAAAAGCTAAAGTAGAGATGATGGATGGCCATGTTGCTTTGAATATGAATGGTGGACAACATGGGCAACTTGTTCATCCTTCGACTGTTGGAACATACGATCTGTCTTACCCAGATACCATTCCCAGCTACAACAGAACCTTTTCCAAGCCAAAAGGTGGGTTATATTTTGTGAAATGTATAGAACACCGATTCTGCAACACAAGTTTTAGCATCAGCAACATTCACAGACTCGGTACAGCTCTTCTTCTCTAACAGATGTAAGGAAAGACAACTTGCTGTTAGTGAGCAATGCACAACTGAGTCTACAACACAAGCATCAGCAATATTCAAAGACTCAGTGAACGCCACCAATATTTAAAAGTATTTTTTTCTCTGTTACTAGAAGCCCATTCTCGCAGCAAATCAGCAGGCAGTCCAAACGTGCAGTCGGGATTCAGTCCCGCTAGACATCTTAGACACACTACTGTCCCATATAACAGACCAGACGAGGTTCACGTGAATGCAGTGTTGAGCATGGTGACTCCTATCGGCATGCAGATGGAGTGTGATAGAGAAAGGGTTAGTGGTGTTATTACTACAAACAGTGAAAGTATTGAGGAAATAAATAGGAAATACAGTGAAAGAAAGGCTAGGGATATGGGAAGTGGATGCTGAAAGAATCTGGGAAGACAGGGAGTGAGGAAAGCAGTAAAAGGAAGTTTGTGAAAAGTTCAGTTGGAAAAGGAGGGATAAGAAAATTATCGGAAAAATATGAAGAAGAAAGTAAAAAGGAAATGAGAGAATGGTGAAATGGATAAGTCAAGAGAGGGTAAGACTCGGCAGTCGAGGGCTAAAGTGCAAAAATGAAAGGTAATACAGCGCGCAGAATTTTCAGACTAAAGTGAAGTACATTAGTGAAGACGTTTAGTCTTATGTTGCAGGCGAATGGGTATGTTTCTCCTGGAATGAAACAACCATCCACTCCAATACCTCAACACGTGACACTAGATAGAACTCCTGATCAACAGATACACAGAGAAACTTCAACAGTCAGTCAGTCATCGTCTGTATGCAGCTCAATCCTAGACATGGACTCTCCCAGGTAAGAGTGTACCCCTTGAAAAGTATTCACATGAAAATATGTCTGTGGAAAATAATTTTAGTGCGTTTCACTGCATAAAATTAAAAAATTAAAAATAGAAAATTAAAATTAAAAAGCCTCTTGTTTTTGCACATTTTTTCCCTTGTCAAATATTATTTGGTGCAACTGCGGGAGTAAATGAACTTCAATTTACGAACCAAAAAAATACTGTTTGAAAACATTTTAGCCGTCATCTCCGCAATATAAAATAATGAAGTTTCTATTATTTTTTTTTTGCAAACATTTTGCGTTTTTCGGCAACATAAAATGCGTTGTCAAGTTATTTGTCATTTCCTCGGTACATAATTTGCCCATATATGTCATGTCTTGTCTAATTAATGTGTACATCCATCTATTTTCTCTTGAAATCCTTTTTTGAAGTCATTTTTTTATTAATAAGATTGCAAAACTATATACTTTTTTCACCGACGAGAATTGCGTTGTCAAGTTCTTTGTCATTTCCGCGGCACATCTTGTGCACCATGTCATGTCATGTCTTGTCAAATTATTAACATCCATACATCCAACTCCTCTTGATATCCTTTTTTGAAGTCAGTTTTTTACTTTGTGTACCATGTCATGTCTTGACAAAATATGTCCATCCATTCAACTCAGCTTGAAATCCTTCCGGTCATTTTTGAGTCTAATAACTTAATGATTTAAGAGTTTTTTTTAATGAAAATCGTAGGTCTGGTCTTCAAGTCCTTCTTTTCAAAATGGCTTATAATTGAGTAGCCTTTTACGTCAATTACATTGTAGTTACATAATTAGATAATTAGTCATCGTTGTAGCGTAACCTAACAGTAATTATCGAAGTCTATTAAATTCGCAATCAAGTGTCCATTTATTCACATAGATTACATTGTTTTAATCATTGTCACAAAAAAACCATTCTTCAAAACTTGATTTCCGTATTTTGGYATACTAAAAGCTTGCCTCAGAGATCATATCTCTTGTGTCATCATTGATTGATCGCTATCATTGGGCTTTAATAACGTGTATGCAGAATGTGATTGCTCATGTAGAGCTCTGTTGTTTGAGTTCAAATTGGCACCGATCAAAAGAGAACAGCATTCCATGGTAGCCAGAGAGTGTGCTTAAAGATTATTTGCATAATTCGAATACAATATTTTTCTATTCTCATCCTATGTCGTCAGTAATCCCCGTGTGTTTTCACAATGCCTTACAAGTAAGTCCCTAACACATGTATTTCATCTAGTTTGGTATTTGTACAAATTGGGGGTGATATAAATGTTCGTGGCGGAGAGAGGGAATCTTTCTTTGATGTTAAGGTTAAGCACGGGTTCTCTGTTGTTTGCCTAGCCTCATCATCCCGTAATTAATATGTCTCGTAATGGATCTTCCAAGAAACCCCTCGTTTACCTCTACAGGTCGTCACTCTCTACACCAACCCCTCTCGAACTGAAGAACAAGGAACCAGAGTTAAACAGAGAGAGAACAGATCGTGATTACAAGGTCCATTTCCACCAGGACAAATCGCCGTCAGATGCGAACAAGAACTTCAAAACATCGGGACCTGTTTGTCCAGACTCCATTAGATATCAGTATGTTCATGACACTAGTTTGTGTTTGTTCTAGTCATATTGATCATGTTGGATGAGTTCTTGGTCGCTCAACATATCTCAGTGTTTCATTAAAATCCGCTAAATTGATTGCCTTTCAACATCAGGGCCCGGTCGTACGAAGCCTGGATAGCGCTATCCGGCGGATAAATCCTTATCCAGTGGATAAGTCGATGCTGTTATCCAATAAATTTATCCACTGGATAAGATTTATCCGTTGGATAGCGCTATCCAGGCTTCGTAAAACCGGGCCCAGGATTAAAACTGTGTCATGGCGTTATACTACCCTGTTCAAGCCTCTCTTTCGGTCTGCGCAGACAGACAGAGAGCTGCCTAGCTGTGTATCCTAAGTATGTGTCTTCCTTGTAGTGCCCTTGTTCTGTCTTTTCTACTGAAGCATGTGCCTCTCTGTCGGATATGAGGTCTTCTATAGCTATGTGTGTGTCGTCCGTCTCCTGTCGATTCTTTGTGGTGTCTCTGTCTGTCTATTTTTCCTATGTATGTGTCTGTCAGTTTGTGTGTATGTCAGTTTGTGTGTATGTCAGTTTGTGTGTATGTCAGTTTGTGTGTATGTCAGTTCTAGATATGTTTTTGTGTCTGTCTTTCCGTGTAGCTGCTGTTGCCATTTCTTGTGTCTATCATCGTCATAGCTATCTACATATTCCATAGTGTCTGTCTGTCCGCTCTCGTTTTCACGTATCTTCCTATTGCCCTCAAATGCCCTTCCTATTGCGTCTATTATTGCCATAGTTATCTACATATTCTAGTGTCTGTCTGTCCGCTCTCGTTTTTACGTATCTTCCTATTGCCCTCAAATGCCCTTCCTATTGTGTCTATCATTGCCATAGCTATCTACATATTCTAGTGTCTGTCTGTCCGCTCTCATTTTTAAATAATCTTTTCATATTCCCATTGCCCTTCAGGTGGACAGACGATGGATTTGGTAGTATGACATACATGAAAAAGTTAAAGTAAGTAGTACGTCTTACATGCTGATATCTTTTTCCCGATTGCGAACGTCCGCCCATTGTGCATTTTCTAAGAAAAATATTTCCCTTTGCACTGTTTCTTTCCCAGTTCGCATTTAGAATATCTGCTCATAATACCTCTACTTCAAAATAAACGTTGACGTCGGTCCGAGACATGTTATGGGCGATCTGAGACTGAACGGAATTTGGGTGCTTTTATGTTGTGTGGCTAAAATACAAAAAATCACTTTTCTAACTCAAATAGGCCTTGCTTCATATTCCAAACTACGTTGTTCCGCTGCGAATATATTAGATTTTGCAGCGTCTTACTCGGTGTCAGATTTCAGATACGGATCTCATAGGGACTGACAACGCTTTTTGAAATAAGTGTACAGTCATGCCTGGTTCACAGCACGAACCTTCGTAGGCGAGCGGGAAGTGTTGAAGGAGACGTTTTTTTAATGCCTTCAAATTTTCGAAATCGTGAACTGAATCATAACTTTGTTTTTCCTTCCCTAAACCCAAAGACATGCATTTGATGGATTGTTTCTCGCCATTATTATCTTATTACTAGCGGGAACAATTAATTCAAAACGAATATTTAAGCACTTCAGTGATTCTTACCCATATTCCTTCCGGTCCAGTCGCGTAGGCTTGAGCCGGTCGACGACAACGTTTTTTGAATTGACTGTATACAACCAACAGTGTATTTATGGATTCTAACCATTCATTTGATTACCAGGTCACCAATCTCTCCTCGATCTCCGAAGAAGAAACCCAATGTAGGCCAGACTTCCAAGCAATCGCCTCCAGAACACGTGACTTTACCATCGAGTTCTCGGTCTCTTGATAAGAGAACATTGGCATCATTAATGTTAGTCAAGCAGTTAGGAGAATCAGATCGTAGGGATGGGTAAGAATGACTGGAATTAAGAGTTTAAATGCTTTAAAATTATTGAAAGGGAATCGCAAAAATCTCCAAGTAGTAGATAATCAAAAGAATACTTGTCTTTGTCGAGAAGGTTTGCAAAAGGTAAAGTGAAATGTAAGGAAACGATGAAAACTTGGTCGAGTTTGCCGTTCGCGGGAAGGAAAAACGGGAACCTTAATCTCCCTTGCAACCACATGACTCAAATTCCCTTGGGATATAAATAACAATGACAAGAGAAGAGAAGCTAATGAGAAGCTTATAAGGAATGCTTGTGTTATCGTCAACCAAGATGGCGCCGGGCTATGACGTAACATGTTTCCTAAGAATATGAATGTTGCTTAATTTTTTGATACGGGACAAAGCGGAAAGGAGAGAGGGAACGATATACATTTATTTTTTCTCTTTTCTTCGTACTCCTCTTTACTATTTCCTTTATTTTTCTCTGTCTATATTTTGTTCCCTTTTTCATCCCATTTCATCTTTTTCATCTAACTTTTCTTTTTCCTCATCTCTTTTCACTCCAAAATTTCTCATATTTTTCTCTTTTCCTCTCCTTTTTTCTTTTTTTACTCTAATTTCGTCCCTTACCATCTTTCTACTCATCCTCCACTTCCCTAAATCCATATCCTAATCCTACTAAGCTCATTGACTTTCTTTTTCTCTGAGCTAAATTGTCGTTCTAAATCCATACAGCAGTCGATTTGGAGGTTGTACAGAAAGGTCAGCCACAGCTCCCCCACCAGATCATGTAGACTACAATTATAAACTAGAATACATGTCATTCTGCCAGCCCGTGGGGCCAAGACTAGGTGAGTGGTTTGTTGGTTGATAAATCATGGTTGTTGTGTGGTCTCCATAATCATTTGAAGTAGCTGTATACTGTTTATTTGTCTTGACTCAACAATCCCTTAAACTGGAGGCTACGAAACGTTACTCGAAGTGTTGACCTACATTCTCTTATCCATTGAAAACTCTTCTCGCTTCTTGTTATAAAAATCTGTTTTTGAGTTCGTAGAATGTGGCCTAATTTGTTCCTCGATTACTGACTCGTTTACTCAGGGCTAGCCACATTTTCGCATTAAAAATGTTCACAAATACCAATTAAGTATATAATGCACATCAACTCCAACGATATTCTCAAAGATTCCGCGGAACTAAGTTTCATTCACATGGTTATTCTGCAAAACAAATCGAGGTTAACCCCTGAGCAACACTGGGGCGGGTTAAAAGAGATAACAGGCGGTAACTTTCTTTATCTTTGGCTACAGGAGAGACAGACAGACCATCTACAGTAGCCTGGTATTTACAAGGAGATCATGGTTTGTACAAAGAACACAGTATGCGGTACGACAGGTAGGATGCTTAAGGCTTTCATCTTAAACTGAATGTCACTCTCTTGGGTGATATTTTTTTTCTTTTAAGGTTAGCACTGAAACTGACAGTTCAAAACAGTTGTGACCAAGATTAGTTCTAAGCCTCAAAAAAATTCATTTCGTATCTGTCCGAAAACAGAAAACGTTACTGTAGCTAGCAGTAGGGTCATCCTAGCCTCGTGTTAATAGACGTCTCTACCTTGGGCGTAAATTTTTCCCATCTCAGATCTCGTGTCATTCCCTAGAGTACCATTTCTTTGTTTAACGGTTGCGCATGAGAAGAGACATGAATATGGATACGACTTAGACAAAGAAACTTATTCTCAAGAGAATGACACGTGGTCTGAAATGGGAAAACTTCACGTCCAAGGTAAAGAGGTCTATAGCAACCATGATTGACATATGCACGGGTATGTTATATTTATTGATTTTGCAGCGAGGAGATTCACAAGAAAGACGTACGTATCGCACAGGACAGATCGTTGATGATCGAAGGCCGACATATCGGTGGGGATGCCGACCAACAAGAATCGAAGCCGATGGAAAAACCAACAGCAAATGAAGAAAATGAAAAGAAAAATAAAGAACCGAAGAAAGAAATAGAGGCATCTGAAAACACAGTAAAGAGCCATAAGGACAACAAAGGTCTGTAAAATGATAAAATTAATAATAAAATAACCAATTTATTCGCATTATATTGCGGAAGGAGATATAAGAGGTCAACCCTATCGAGAATATTTCTTAAGATCGAAACGGAATTTAGAAGTTGATTTTTTGGAGGGAGGAAAACCGTTTAACCTCAGAGGAAAAACCTTCGAAACACAGGAGAGAAATAACAAACAACTCACCTCGACACCAAGCCCAAGGACTCGAACCCAGGTCGCATTGGTAAAAGGCGCATTAGCATCTCATATCGCATGCCACCCGTGCTTTAATGGCGTTTAAAGCCATTAGAGTATTATAAGACAGTTATCTTTGCGAGGACACCCACTCCGTCTTGCCCCTTCACTCACACAGGCACAGGATGACGGTTCGGGGTATCGAAAGCACTAGCTCAGAGGTAGCGCACTAGCAGCGCACTTTACCTGCGCTTTCCTTGGTGTGGCTTATCGTATTTGCCAATCCGCATTAGGATGGATCTTTAGGATTCTTTGCGTCTTTGCGAAAAACAACCGAAGGCAGGCTGTGCTAGCAAGGATGAGTGACTGTGAAGGAGAATGAAGGGAGGAAGGTGATGTCTGATTCTTAATATTTTGTTTTGCGTTTCGTTTATCGAACAGAATTAGCCAAGCCAGCCAGGGCGTCATTACGTCCTACCTCACCGAGACCGAAGCGACCATTATCTGCCTCCAGCTGTGAACATCATCACATATCGATACCTACAGGAAAAGGTTTTGGTACGGCGTCTAGGCCATGTTCAGCACGCAGTGACAGGTCTGAAAAAACATACAGCTTCTCTGTTAAACAGTTCAAACATTTCTGCTGGCCTGATGAGGTACGTCTGCTAAATATATAGTGTTAGTAAAGCAAATTGAATCAAAATCAGCCAACATACAGTTATGGAAGGCTTAATACAATTTATTTAGATTACCAGTGTTTCATAAAGTACTTAAAACCATAAAATCAACTCCTAAATTCCAATTGGAATTACAGTGGATGAATAGCTACTCTGTAGAAATGCCACTGCTAAATCCCATTTATTGTTTATTTATTTTATTATAACATTACTTCAAAAATGCATTCTATATCGTTAAAATTACATGCAGCTATAGATCGCTCTGGTTGTACATGAATTGTCAAACTTGTCGTACTTCTGTCGATACTTTTGGCGCGAATTTTCATATAAGAGCAGCGCCTTTGCAGTTCCATCGAGTTGTTGTATCATCAATCCTTCATAAATAAAGCTCTGATAATTCTTTACAGGCTGTTCTTTCTGATGACTACATCAGGCAGAGAGAGGTCTGGGCGGCAGTCAATATACAAAGGTAACGTCGTATTTAGGGGTTTAGTTCAGTTATGACCCGCACTTGCAACGCGCGCAAGCATCAACAACATGCGCATATTCAGAGCAGCTCTTCTTGAACACGCGTGCAAGTACGTCTGCGCATACTTGATAAATGTGTAATTACAAGTAAAGAGAAACTATGCTTTTAACTTTAATTCGAAAAAATACAAAATACTGTATTTACTCGTCGGAATTTTTTGGGTTTTATTTGCGGCGTTAATTCAGGGGCGGCACTCATTCGGGACGGCGCTTATTGATAATTTTGGTCTTAGATGCGGCGCTTATTTGAGGGGACGTTTAATCGGAGCGGGGCTTAAACGAGTAAATACGGTACCTCTACCAAATGCAGTCGTGCCTTTGTTTCTAGGTTACCCATTTTTCCGTTTTCCAAGATTCTATCTTTTGTTTCCTGGAAAAACTTTGAAATTATCACCCCTTGGAACAGCGCATGTTCATCCGCTCTTGGTACATATCTGAAAAAATATAAATTTWWAAAAAAAAATATTCATTTATATGAATAATTTTTGCTTTGAACAGAATATTTCGAGGGTACATGGCACGTCAGTATTATCTTGACTTACGTGATGCTGAAAGAGAGCGACGACGAAGGGCTGCCCTTACGTTACAAAGGTACGAAGATACTGAACAGCTCCGGCAATAATAATAATAATAATAATAATAATAATAATAATAATAACACCTTTGAATAGACATTTGTTAGTGACACACTAAGGATATAGCCTAGAACTATAAAAGTTCCGCTTTATTCTTGTAAAGTATTACCCATACTGAAAGTTTAAATAAACGAAGATAATAATAATAATAATAATATTAATATTAATAATAATCGCTCCAAAGCAACTAAAGTTCCAAAGCTTAATATTTTAAGACAATGATAAACAAAAATAAAATTCAATTAATAATATTAATTTTAATAATAATATTAATATTAATAATAATCGCTCCAAAGCAACTAAAGTTCCAAAGCTTAATATTTTAAGATAATGATAAACAAAAATAAAACTTCAATTAATAATATTAATATTAATAATAATAATAATGATATTAATAATGATGATAATAATAATAATAATGATAATAACTGGGTGGTGGTTTAATTGAATTACCACCAATAATTCTCTATTTTATCTATTATCATGTGTTCATTCGTATTCTTTTATAGTCATTTGCGCGGTTTCCTGACTCGTAAACGGATGGAAAACAAAATGAAGGATTACACGCCGACCACTCGAACCAAGGAATGGGCGCGTAAATACAAGGAAGAATTGAAACAACGCGAAGCTGCGCGAATGAACAAGAAAAACTTTACACTCATCAAGTAAGAGTTGATTTATGTTAACAAAGTTACATAAGTCCATAAGTCGAATGTGCGAATTCATAGGTTCGAAACCGGCGCCAATAACCTAAAAATTTGTGCTATGAAAATTGAAAAAGATATTGTGTATTTATTACAGGTTGAACAAAGAAGCTGAAAAACTTGATGAAAGCATCAAGCAGGTGAAAGCGCACCAACATATCTTCGAGTGAGTCCAAACTTTCTTTTCTCTTATTAGATGATGATCTTTTTGTGGTTTTAACAAAGGGTATTACAGCCACTACTCGTCCCATACCACAACTCCCTCACCCACCCCCCTCCACCTCCCGCCCCGTCCCCCGTTTCTGTAGAGGGGTTGAATTCGTTAATCTGGCAGCGCTAAATAAACTATTCTAACTAAGAAATTTATTTAGGATTTCTTTAAAGCAGTCACACTTTGACACCTTCACGAAAGTCGTTTTTACTCTTGTTTTTACCGAGCCATTTTGAAGTCGTTTTGGATCCGCATTTGAAGAAGTAGTATTTAGATTCTACATGGAGTCAAATTCGCTCTTTCAGTGTTTCTCTAAGAGTAGTTTAACTCCTAGAAGTATTAATTGCTGGCCAATATGGAAAAGCTAAACAACACAACCAAGGTGCTGTTTTGACTCATTGGCAAGGTCATGACTTTTGGTATCAAAATGATTCCAAAAGGTGTCAAAATATGGCTTCTTTGGAAACGTTGAATGACCCCTTGGAATCAGAAGGACCCCTTTGTGTTTACTGTGTAAGCCGCGCCCTTGAACTTGTTGCTCAGCTGTTTCATTAGTTCAATACATGCGCAAACTAATAATTTCATCTGTATTAGTATTTATCATCCAGTTAAAGAAGGACCGACCAAAGCTGAGATGAAAGCCGCAGCTATCACAATACAAAGGTAAAGACAGTAACTTTTTCGTCGTATGGGAAGGAGGACATAGGCGTAATTCCGGTGACGCCATGAGATATACTGTTTAGTGTTCACATTTTCAACTCTCTCCGCGCGTCCCTGAGCAAAAGACCTCAACGTGACTTGATCCTGAAGGCGAAAGAATGACCGCGGTTAACACTGTAATCGAAAGGTTATCTATTGGTGCCTTGTTATGACTGGTAACGCCTTGCAATGATTGGACGTTCTTACTTTACTTGATCATACTGATATTAAGTTTACTATTTCGTCTGTCTGCAGATATTTCCGTGGTTGGTTTGTGAGAAAAATGTACCAGAAAGTCAAAGCAAAGGTATTTGTGTATTGGTTTAATGCGATATAAATTCCTAACTGTCCTCAAACTGTCTTTATTTAACATTGAAATGGCTTGTATCGTATGAGTGGGAATTATACGGTAATAACTGACAGCACCGAGGTACACGGTACAACATGCCGTAACATTGAAATGGCTTCCCTTAAGAATATTGAATTTCGTATGAGTGGAAAACATACGGTACCTACAGCACTTACACGGTACGAAATGATGTAACATTGAAATGGCTTCTCATTGTCGTCTCGTAATTCATTCATTCAATCAAGACGCGTAGTCTCGCTTACGGTAAGATGCGGTATGACTACAGTACGATCACGGATTTACAGTATCGTTTACAACGAAAACCGCTCTATAAAATAGTTATTCGTTAATATTAACCTGTGATTCTATAACTGATTTCTGTCTACCCGTACTTTCCCAGGCTCTCAAGCGCACTCTATCGTTCAACAAATTCATCAAAGACTATCAAAGCCTTCTCTACAGAATACAGAAGAGATACGGTGTCAAGGATCCATCAACTGACCTACAGTTTAACGAGCTGATGGAATATGTCGAACGATTGAACAGTAAGTGATCAATTTAATTAACGATTCCCGGATAAATGTAATTGAAAATATAGTCCTAGATGTTTGCCCGTAAAAGCAGATTTCGTTGTGTGCCGTGTCCAAAAACTGTTTTTGTTGTATAAACCGAGTAGTCTAACGCACTGTGACTTTGCCTGCGCAGCGGCCCCCAGTAATCGTGGAGTGGGGATTATTGAGGGCCGCTACGCAGGCCGCCTGTGACTGGGGTTAGCAAGCCGGGGTGTACCATCGTTCAGTAATACTACTTACAAGGTTGCGCAATTCTGTTGAAACATTTCTCAAGGTCCTTGGTGTCTACTTGCTTCAGTCGAATATTGATGTACGATTAAAATATCTTTGGTCATTTTCAGAGTATGAAATAGCTTTCGAGAAGTTCGCCGTCAATGGTGTGCTCAGCTACAATGATATCAAGGAGTATTTCAAGGCTGTTGGTCACGTGCCGTCACAGAAAGAGATTGACGAAGCCATCGAAATCGTTACTAAAAGTAAGTTTGGTGCAAGAGTGTAGGCAAATCGATGCAGTTTTGCAACCCGCTCTTCTTTTGAATATCATCTGCGAGTACAAACTTCAATTCGCTTGTAAGAAACGCCGATTACTTGGTCAAGTTTCTTTCCAAGGCTCAATGGCCGCGGAGCACCCTGTAAAGTGTGTGGGGGGATAAGAAAATATATGAAACTAGTATGGGAAAAAGAGGGGGGAGCGGCCGCAGCCCCTGAGGCTTGCAAGCCGAGCGTCCAGGCATTCATTCAACTTCAAGATTAGCCAAAGCCTTGAACAAAGGACTCCTTTGCCTTGGACCTAGGTTACCAAAAATGGCATATCGACTTATTACGTTTCCTTTACGAACTAAGGTGTGAGCTAAGGTGTTTTTTAAGTTTTATTGTTCTTTTTACACCACCAAAAAGGAGAATCTTTAAGCCTGTCTTGTTCTAGGAGAATCGGAAGTATCGCTTGAATTTTTGGCGCGAAAAAGTTTAAGTTTTGAAGAGCCGGTTGCGCTGTTTCTTTTTTCATGATCACAAACAATTAACCGTCTGTTTCGCGATTGCCTGTACTAAAACATGATTTATTTTCTATCAGTGCCAGCGCAAGGCCGAAGTCTAACCAAAGCAGAGGCAGTGGAGATTCTGTTCCAAATCTACGTTCCACGAGGCACGGGAATGAAGCTATCAGATGTGCGTAAATCAACATGGTTAAACCCACTTAATGATGGCCAAGACATTATGCAACTACTTTCCAAGAAAGACCTTGAGGCAACAAATCTTGCTAAATGTCTCTCACTAGTAGCTAATGCAGGGAAAGATAATGAAGAGATACAGGACTTACTCAGACCTTCCTCGGCTAAATCTGCAACCAAGAAGACTGAGAATAAAAAGGGCAGATCACGTGATAAGGAGCGGCACGTGACTTTAGCTCAGTATCCAATGAGGCCATCTTCTTCTGCATCTTCACGTAGTCGATCCAAGTCCCCCAAACCCCCAAAAAGATAAAAATAAAGTGGTTTTGTTGGGATTTTTGTGAGTGGTTCCGTGGGTTCCATGAAGGCCCCCTTTTGTGAGATCTGGTAAAGCCAATCATGTCCTTTACGCTCAAATAGAATGAAATTGTAACCCTCCTTTGTGAAGATGATCAAGAGAGCTCTTTCTGCATGGCAGCCATATTGGAACCACCCTTATTAATATCCTGGACCAACCACTGTTTTCTATTTCATTATATATATATATTACATATCCCAAAACTTTTCCAAGGTCCTCAACTCGAGGGTTAGGGAAATACAAAGATAAAATACATATTGAAATTCCACTTTTATAAAATTAACGTTTTTACATGGCATTATAAAAGGAGACTGGATATTTCCTCCTTCCTGGATATTAATTTTTCATGTCACAGACACCATCATTTCAAAAGGATTTCAAAGTCAAACCAGATACCTCCTAAGTGTCATACTTCAAGTGCCAGTCTTTTGCAGTTAATATTGTAGAGAACGGATATTACCATACAAGTATTTGTAAATACACTCAATTGCAAAATCATTTAAGGTTCAATTCTCACACCTGTGCAAAGTAAGACCAAAAGGTATTGTGTGAAATACCTAATTATCATCTGATGTTCTATGCTGTGAGCATGACAATGATTTTGCAATACTCCTTTCTGGTAATGATATCATGATCACAAAGGTGTACTGAGTGTGTGAAAGTGAATTGGAAATTTGGTTCAACTTTAACTGAGGGTCTAGTCATGAATTATTTAGGGAAAGTATTGGGAAATTAGTTTTTCTGGTTTGAACATAATTTAATACCTTATTAATGTGGATTGTTAATGCCCTCGATCCACTAGCCTCCTATGCAGCCGTCCTTAGTGTCTGTCACAATATCTCATACCCTATGCATAGGTACCCATCCACCCACCCCTCCCCCATTTCCTGCCATTTGTCAATGAGTGTGGGGAGGAAAGACCAGATTCTTTCCATCATTTATCTACATTATTACGCATATGAAATAGATAGTAGATTAGTAGAGGCTAGAGTATATTATTTAAGTAAGTAAAAATCACTATACAATAAATTTGCATATTTTCCAATCCCTGTAATATCAATGAGAATGAAATATTTGAAATATCTAATATAAAAAAAGAAAATTGTCAATGATTATCATATAAATTCATCCATATTAAAGATATTATGAATTTGAATTTATTTTACAATCAGTGTTTGTTTCACCAAAAGGATTCCAGATTCCTAATTTTCTCATTGAATAAGCCTGAAGTGAGATGACGTTTTACCCCCGACCCTGTACCATAATAGTTTTTAAAATTCTTTCATRTTAATTTTTTTGATTCCTTAGAGGATACAGGAACAATAGTCATAATTAAAGAACAAAAGCAGTGTGAAAAGGATTATGGTCTAGAGACGGGGGTAAAACGTCATCTCGCTTCAGGCTTATTCGGAATCCGAGATCCGAAGTCCACACTGTCCATTCTTAGTTTCCCTTTATGCACTAGTCAATTGAAACCCCCGACCCCCGCGGCTAGCGGGGCACTGAACGGGGACGTGACGCGTTTTTTATGTGCTTTTAAGAGCATGATTGCACCGGGGGTTCGGGGATTTAACGAATGGTTTTCTCAGCGGGGAATCGTGCGGGGATTTTAACGCTCGTTTGAATATGTAAGGGCCTGGAAACAAGATCTCGGCCATCTTGAAAAATACCAAGAAGGCGTGGTTCCAAGCACAGGCAGCCCGTAACCTAGTACAGAGGAGTATGTTCTACACAAAACACATGCTCAAACAAACTTATAGCAGTTTCTACCTATACACTTTTACACTGAACTCCACTGATAAGAACCTTTAGTTTCTTAAAATTGTAGCCTTAATAGGTTCTTATGTGGAGGGGTCTTAAAGTGAGAATTTTAGCCTAACAGGTTCTTTAAACCCAGGTTCTTATACGCGGGTTTTGTTCAGTCGTTTCGGTCAGTTCGAATGTAGAATCAGATCATGATTTATCTATTAAAACTACTGCTTCGCAATATTTACAAGCATTGTTCATTTTCGATCTAATACCATTAAACTCTCAGCCGACTAGACGTAAACCTAAACGTTTAAATTATACGTCTAAATATTGAGCATTGAATATTAGTGCATGGAATAGAATTTGGAGAGAATTTGGAGTTAGCGTGAAATGTGTTTTTTGATGTCTGATTTTAACACCACACAAATGTTAAATTTCCCGGTAATTCGCAGGGGTCGAGGGGTGGGGGTTTCAATTGACTAGTGCATTATAAATAACGATCAACATGCATGCTGTAACCGAGTAAGCCTGGTTCGTTCCTCGTGGTGTACATGCAAGATAAGAAACAAAACGAGGATTTGATCGGCGCTTCTGACCTAAAAACCCCTTCATTGCCCATCATGCCTAACATTAAGATCTTTGGTGGCTCTTCTCACCCACATTTTGCCCGTCTAGTCGTCGACAAGCTTGGTTTTGATCTTGGAAAAAGCATCATGAAGAAGTTTTCTAACAAGGAAACATGGTGAGTCTGGAAGCACGTTTACCCCTGTTTCTCTCTCTCTCCCCCTCTTCAAGTTTGACTTTAACGCTAAAACTACCAAGTATCTAAGTTGTAATAACCTCTTTAGAAGGGTGTTTTAATTGCTATAAATCTAAAAATAGTTTTGAGCTCAATTTTATCCAAATAAGCTTAAGTTCTTTTTATTTGACAGCAGCCAGTTTAGTGCGTTAAGATTTTAGCGGGTTTGTAGTAGTATGTTTACAAATATATTCCCGTTAGAGATCTAAACGTTGTTCCCTGCTGAGCTTAGCTTGTTCCTCGATAAACAGTTGTGCTGTCAATATCTTAGAGGTAATGTTCTGTATACCATGTATAGCAAYACAGATATTTAATAGTCGTTCAACTGGAAGGGCCACGTGGTTTACAGGGCTCACAATACACCTTTTTATACTTCATTGACCACGAATAATAGTCTTTTTGCGCAAAATAAAGTTATAGTTTACTAGTAATATGCGGCAAAAACCTTGACTTGGAAGTATTATTTGTGGTCAATGAAAGGAACTGTAAATAGGAGTATTTTAAAAATTATTGTTCATTATTAGTATTATTACAAAAGTGAATATAATAAATCAGGTGTGTTCATTGGCCACGATTTACGTCTTATGCTTCTTTAGTAAAAATATGCARGTGATCATAGAGAATCTTGCACGCTGATTGGTCAAGAAACTCACACTATCACACGATAATCACCTCGAGCGAAAATCCAAAATGGCGTCCAGCCACTTTGTTGCTGTTGCCGGAAAAAATGCCKTTTATCTTCTTTTTTTCCTTTTTTTGAAAGAATAACCTGTGTATTTATACTAAAACAATTGTTTGCCTTATTGGGGAATATTTACCTCGCCGCTCGAAGACTTGAGTCTCGGTAAATATTCCCCGGTAATCATTTCCCCTTGGGCAAATAATTGTTAAATATTCACCCATAGGTGGATGTAACGTGGAGAAGCACATGCTCGTTTGTCGATTCCTGCTGCTCGTAGAGATAAATAGAATCTGAACCAAAAAACTCTCTCCCAGTCGTATTTATTAAATTCACTTGTGTTAAAAATACTAAAACAATTATTTGCCTCAGGCTCATTAAATATTGGAGACTCACTTCTCAGTGAATATTTTTCAGTAATGATTGTTATTATTATTGTTGTTGTTATTGTTGTTGTTGTTATTATTTATTATTTTTTCATTTTTGTTATATATAAATATACACTGCAGTTTGCAAACTTTGACCATTTTGTACATATATACACTTATTTCAATAAAGTTAGTCGCCTGAAAAGCTACAAAGCTGAGACCAACAAGGATTATGGGTAGTTACATTTTACATGTTTCAACCGCTTGAATAACTGTTGATGGATTTTAGATCTTTTACCAGTTACAGTCTCACCTCTTCTGAGCATCCTCAAGCTGCAAATTGTATCAAAAGCTTTACTTGTTTGATATTAAAAGTTTCCCATGATTCTCAGTGATCTCGGCTTTCCAGGTTTTTTGGTGACTAACTTTATTGAAATAGGTATATACAAGTATATACAAGTATATCAAAAGTATATCAAAAATTATGGGATACCATCCCTGATATTCTTGTCGAGTTGTCTATTACTAGGGCTTTCTGAAAAAAATATCACGGATGACATCCCATGATTTTTGGTATACTTTTGATTTTCTTGTATATATGTAAAAAGGGTCAAAGTTTATGCAAACTACAGTGTATATATATGTATACACAGCCATTTGCAAAAATTATGGCCATTTCCAACATATATACAAGTATATCAAAACCATATAAAAAATTGTGGGATATCATCCGTGATATTTTCTTCGAGTTGTCTATCCCTAGGGCTTTCTGAAAAAAATACCAGGAAAGATATCCCATCATGTCTGATATACTTTTGATATACGTATATATATATGTATATGTATATTTGAAACGGCCATAATTTTTGCAAATGGCTGTGTATATATATGTTAGATTAGCCTGACTTGTTGATTCATTTATTGTTTATGGGCAGGTTGCACGAACCTCTATTAATTATGGTAAGAGCACCCATAAGCAGGTTCTAAAACAATAGACTTTTACACTACAGCAATACTTACAAGTGTTCTTATCTTAAGAGAGCTTAATTATTCAACCAGGTCCTGTGTAGCTCAAATGCTTTACTGATAAATATGGTGGCTTGAAAATTATAAATGTTACTTATAAATGTTTGTTACTTATAAATGCTTTACTAAACTCCATAGCACACATGGAACTGAAGCCATTTTCAAGTTTCTTTCTAATGATTTAAATTAATTCAAGCCATGCTTGACTAATATTTATCACTTCATCGCTTTCATAATATTTACATAACTACTCATTCATTTCGTAATCAACTATCTCAGACTACTGTATCTTTTGGACTACAGTATTGAATCACATACCTTTACTCCCCTGAATTCTTTCTTTTGAAATGCGAAATATCAAAATCTTTTCTGGTAACTCTAACCCTGAAATCTCTGAACTTATTATGGAGAGGCTTAACTTGAAACCTGGGAAATGTTCTGTTAAAAAGTTTACTAACGCAGAGTCTTGGTAATGACTAAGCTTGAGAAAAGAAGCTTTGAGATTTAGTCAATATTTAGCTAGCTGGCCTGATTTTTTAAACACATTTATTGCTCTCAACTCCTTAAAACAAGACATCAGTTTGAATTTATGTATCAATATATATATCATATATATTCTAAGTTGCTAATTTATCTGATTAACAGTGTTGAAATAGCCGAATCAGTGCGTGGTGAAGATGTATATATCATCCAAAGTGGCTGTGGTGATATTAATGATAACTTGATGGAACTTCTGATCATGATAAATGCTTGTAAAATTGCCTCTGCACAGAGAGTAACTGCTGTTATCCCATGCTTTCCTTATGCAAGACAAGACAAGAAAGATAAGGTAACCATAAAACTGCCATTAAGTACGTTATATTAATTATACACAACACTGAATCTATTCAACTAGCATTTTGCTCTGACCATCTATAAAATAGTGAAGTTATTTTTGCCTGCTTTCTTGCTGACATTATGTATACATTTTGTTGTAAACTTTTACCAGCAAGATAGTTTTAAGTTATCCATATGCTAATGTCTGTGCAATTGCGTGCAATACACAATACGTTAATTAAATGGGGGTAATAATTCTAGACGATATTGTCTGTCAGCATTATGTTATTACAAAGAACAATTATTTACCAGCAGTTTTGTACCTTACAATAATTGTGACAGATTAGCTTATTCTAAACATCAAAACATTCTTGAAAAGTAATGCTGTTATTTTGGGATTTCATTCACCAAAAATTAACGTATTGTAATGATTATTTTGTCTAGAGTCGTGCACCTATATCTGCTAAGCTGGTAGCAAACATGTTGTCAGTTGCTGGTGCTGATCATATCATAACAATGGACCTCCATGCTTCACAGATACAGGTATATCTGAATGTTACAATCAATTAGATCATACAGCTATGAGATTAAGAGTAGGAAAAAAAATTAAAATAAGGGTTCACACCTTATCCGTAAAACAGTGGTCAATTCATTTTAGACATACATCACACACAGAACCATTACACATACTCAACCCAAAACGACAGGGCAGAAAAACGGGTTCTACCTTTGACCTTTACATTTCATAAACAGGCTCTTTTGGGGCTGATTAACAAAATACCAAAATTTGGGGAAATTTAAGGAATGCGTATTTGAGATATAACGCCCTGAACATTGGGAGAGATGATATTTTGATCAGCACAAAAACCAATATTTTCCCTAATTCCTCAAAGTAGAATTGCTTGAGGTTAGCAGAATGTTGCGAACAGTTTAAAGCACAAGAGACACGAATGGAACACTAAACGTTTTTTTTAGCATGAATGAGAGATTAAGAAAAAAATTGCTAAAGTAGCAGCCTTGTTGTTTTTCTGCTCTGTCCCCCAAAACACTCTCTAAGAAATTCTGCTATCATTTATTTCCAAAACATCCTTTCATTGACTGTTTGTGTATGTTTTCAGGGGTTTTTTGACATCCCTGTCGATAATCTTTATGCCGAACCGGCTGTGTTGAAATGGATAAAAGAGAATGTGAGTGACTGGCAGAATTCAGTTATCGTATCACCAGATGCTGGCGGTGCAAAGAGGTATGGCAAACTGAACTTTATACAGTTTTGTTCCTATAACAGCCAGCTGTAAATCTAGAAACCATACTTTGAAAGAAACAGTTAAACAGTTTGTATATGTAATAGGACTCCATGCTGTCCAATTAAGAAATCAGAGGAATTTTTCGAGTCTAATTATTTCTTGATTGGGGAGCATGAATTCCCATTACTTATTAATTATATAGCTGCCTAATTAATCCCATATCAACAAGACCTGTCCAATTAAGAAAATAATTGGACAGTTACCTATATGGGATTAATGAGAAGCTGTATAATTAAGTATTATTATTGGCTTTCAAAGTAAGATACATCTGGTGTTCCTTCATTTATTTCTTTGTATTTTACAATAAAATAAAATAAGTCCAGAATGTTTGATCCCATGTTGAGGAAGACTAGAAAAAAAGAATGAGTAATTCTGCATATATATTCAAACCACAACATTCTACAATATTGAATTGAATCAAATATCTCCTAAAGGTTTTATTAATATTAATGAATGAATCATAATTAATTGCAGAGTAACATCAATTGCTGATCATTTGAACTGTGGCTTTGCTTTAATCCATAAAGAGGTAAGATTGAAGAATCCACTATTACCTATTACTTTTATCTATTCATTTATCATAGATCTATTACTGACTCCATGTGAATATGGCTGTAGGTATGAATAATAACTAATTTCAAAAATATCATCAGAAAGAATAAGCAAACATTGGTATTTTTGAAAAGTTTGATTTTTCTTATGCTGACATTATTTACAAATTAAGAGAGAATTCTTTTCGTATTTAAGCAGTGAGCGCCAAAAACTATTTTCTTGAAGAAAGGCTATTGTACAATGCTAAAATCTTGTTATTCAGAAAGTTTAACTTGTTTGGAAGTGGAGATGACCGATGAAAGTGGAATCAAGGTGTTAACCCAAAGCAAAAACTTTATTCGAAAATGAGGTTTAGGTCTTCATTTGCTTGTTTCCCATGTATTTTCTATAAAAAAGCCTGACAAAGCAACATTCTATGCATACAAATGCAACAAAATAACTTTGTACAATTGAAAATACCTCTTCTAACAGGTATTTTATCATAGTACACCAGTTTCTAACTGTGTAAAAAAGGTTTTGAGTGTTAACCCAAAACGAAAATTGGGATGAAAACTCACACAAAAGTCTAGTTTTTGGCACTTTTTGCCATTATTGCTCATTATTGAAAAAAATTTCCCTCCCTTGCCACAAGGATTTTCTCTGGGATCTCCAGTTTCCTCCCTCCATAGAAAGCAACATGTTGAGTTGAGTGTTGTTGTATGTTGTAAATATAGAATGTAGTGGTAGTGCGTGTGGAGGGAACCTCACAGAAGAGCCCCATATGGGGAGTGGTGGTTGTAAAATATAAGTTTTTCTCTATGATAATTAGATGGTGGGGCCACATATTGCCATTCGGGCTATTGATGTCCATGTATGTTGTAATTACAGCGTAAAATAGCTAACGAAGTAGCAGGCATGGTTTTGGTTGGTGATGTGACTGGTAGAACAGCTATTCTTGTAGATGACATGGCTGATACCTGTGGAACCCTAACTTTAGCAGCTACAAAGTAAGTCCAATGATAACACAGATAATATTACATGTCCGTGCAGAGATACAGATTTTATCTTTGAGCGTTGAAGTGATATCTTACAAGTGAGTGCAGATATTCTCAACACGAGCAGGTAAAATCTGTATCTCTAAGCTGCCATGTAATATTCTGTTTAATGTATGCATGATATTATTATCGATGAATCCAGTTTTGTTGGATTTTAACCAATTAATGCCATTCCTAAGAATTTTTACCAATGGTGTTATCTATTTGCACATGTGAAACAATCACTCTATGTTTTATAACGAGCAAGCTTAATGATGACTCATTGATATTCTTGATGTTTAGGTTACAAGAGGCTGGAGCATCTAAAGTGTTTGCTATTTGTACACATGGTATATTTTCTGGACCAGCAATGAAAAGGTTGGAAGCAAGCAGCATTGAAGCTGTGGCTGTTACCAACACCATCCCACAAGGAGAAAAAATGCAGGCCTGCAGTAAATTAAAGGTAAACATGGTTTTCTGTGGGTGAGTGGATATGCAAGGGGAAATTGTTAGAGTAGTGTGTACAGGAGAAAGAGTAGTATAGTGGGTCTAAAGAAGAGTGGATTGGATCAGTGTGTAGTACAGTGGGTCTAAAGAAGATTGGAGTGGAGCAGTGTGTAGTACAGTGGGTCTAAGGAAGAGTGGATTGGATCAGTGTGTAGTACCGTGGGTCTAAGGTAGATTGGAGTGGAGCAGTGTGTACAGGAGAAGTTTTTTATGTAGTGAATATAAGAAATAATTGAATGGAGCAGGGGGTATGACAGTGTGTGCACAGGAGAATGACTTGTATAAGCAGCAGTAAGGGGGACTCGCGACTGCTGTTCGGAATACGCCGGGGATTACCTGCCCCCACGTAACGGCGCCAGCAGCGGGAATTATTTGAGCCAACTCTACGGACTTTTAGGCGAATATCCGATTTGACCACTTTACCCGTACCAAACCCGTAGGCAGTAAGGGGGACTCGCGATCGATGTCGTATATTCACGGGTTTTACCCGCGTTATTCCGAAGGCGCCGGCAGCGGGAAATACCCGCGCGACAAGTCCTTACTGCTGCT